CTCCGTGAGCAGGCCCTTGATGCCATCATACAAGGCTTTCATCATACCCAAATGAATATACTTTTCTCATTCAGCTGCTAGACTCAATACATAAATTGAGTCTATGTATTACCTGATAGAACTCTTAATAATTCAGAGTCAATTATTTCTTTGAACAGGTGTAACCAAGGTAGATTATGGAGATATATCATCAAGACTTGGTCTAAGACACAAACTACAATGCAAACCTTTCTCTTGGTACCTAGAGAATATCTACCCTGATTCTCAAATTCCACGTCACTATTTCTCCTTGGGAGAGGTAAAAACATATATGTATATATTCTGTGTGGTTATTGTGTTCTTTCTTTCATTTAAAAATTAGAGGTTAAACTTCCAACTTCTAAGGGTACTTAAAGTATCTTCATATCAAAATTATATAACCTCAAGTATGAGAAACTACTTCTTATCTGATATAGTCTGCTTCATACACTCAGATCTTAAGTTTTTATCATGTTATATTTTATTTAAAAAGAATGCTACATGATTGAGGACATGGATAAGTTCAAAAACTTATACTGCTTGTGGAAAAAAAAAATTGGGCACCTACTTTGGAAAAAATCTGGCATTTCCTAAAACTGTTAGATAGAATTTATATGGTAATACGATCCAACTACTTTTTTCCTCCCATGAGAAATAAAAATATTTTTCTCCACACACACACAAAAAGAAAAGAATGCTATGCCCCTAATCTTTGGACTCTTGTCCAAGATTCTGGACTCTGGTTAGAATATAGCAGTGTCTTTGGTAGGCCTGTGTCTCAAGCCACTTGAGAGCATGTGCTTCTAAAGCTGATTTCCTAGTGTTAGTCCAAATCAGAGTTTGAGAAGTATCAAAGTGAAGATAAATTACAAAGAACTGACTGGGAAATCAGAAAGACTATTCGAAATGAATTGTATTTATGGCACATGTCTGTTTTTTTTGGGAGTTTTAAATCTCTCAGGACAGGGAAGTTGGAAAGAACATTGAGAAATATGTTTGTTTCTGCTTATGCCTTTAGTTATTTCTCTTAGAACTCAGCAGAAATTTTTTTGAAACCTGAAATAATGTGCCTAATAAGGCTTATAATCAGTTAAGATAAATTAGCAAATTAGTTGTACCTTGCAGGAGCCTTTTTAATCCCAGTGAGTGCTCCTTCTATGGGATCTGGTATTGACACATTTTTACCTTTTGTTATAACTGCCAGATAGTCAAAAGGAACTATTTCTTGTTCACTGTTTCTAGAATGTCAATAGCCATCCATTCTATCTCCCAGCCAGACCTCTGCTCTGTGTTTAAGAATCCAACTTTAGTCTTCTTTTAACCTGGAGGTCTTTTTTTTTTTTTTTTTTTTTTAATTCACAGTGTTCAGTCACTAGGTCAGAGTTCTCTCAGAAGCCTGAGTTCTTCTCCTTGATGGAAGACTGCTATCTTCTCCTGTAGCCTTAGCAAATTTCTATTCCTTCATTACCAAGAAAGAAGCCTTTGTCTTTTTATCGAATTCTCTTCTGTTGACTTCTTAGTTACTGTTCTTTCATTTATTTTTCCTTTTTAGTTACCATTCTTGTATTTTTGTTTTCATGATTGCTCTAGAAATTTTAGTATGCATTCCTGAATTATTACAGTCTACCTTAAAGTTAGAATTTTACTGGTTTGCAGTTTTACTGACTTTTCTCTCCTAGTTTTTGAAGCAGAAGTGTTGGACTACTATGTCCTACCTTTTCTTTATTAGAGTACAATACTCTAAGATATTGGACCATAAGATTCAAGGTTTCCTTTTTTAATAATCCTTTAGTTCCCCAAGATTCCTCTTTATGCTAGCTCAAGGCAGTGACTTTCAACACCGTAGTAGTGAGTTATATGTCAGTTAAGCAGCTTATGATTACTGTTTTTCAGCAGTCTAGAAAAAGTATATGAAAGTGCATTGCATATAGTAAAAGAATTTTTTGCTTTACTGAGTCATGATGTAAGATATATTTCTTTCTATAAGTTGTGATTTAAAAAGTCTGAAAACCACTGTCTTTTTTAAGGGAACATGAAGATTCTCTTCTGAATAGCCTTATAGTTATGTTTGTAGAATTTACTATAAGATGTCTTTGATCTTTTTGTTAACTCTTTCTTTCATTGTCCACCTTTCTAATAGATACTTACCTTTTCTGTGTCCCATGCCTTTCTGCCCAGAGAACACAAGAGTTCTACCTTGTCCTCATACAGTCATTATTTCTTCTCCCACCCCTTCTTAAACTCCCTTGCTTGGATTTTTTTCAGAGGCAGTCTTAACAGTTAAAGGATCTTATGTGTACATAGGCCCTTTGTATGAAAATTTAGCCATCCTTGTTTTGAATTCATAATCACTTAACTTACAGAAAGGCTCTAGAGAAAGAAAAAAGAAGTTCTGTTCTTCCAGGAATCAGTAGTACACTGCAGCCTACAGGCTAAATCCAACTTGCTGCCCATTTTTATATAAATAAACTTTTATTGAAACATAACCATGCCCATGTATGTACTCACTGCCTTTAGCTACTTTTGCACTAAAGCAGTAGAGTTGAGTAGTTGGCACAGAAACCGTATTGGTCCCCAAGCCTAAAATACTCTGGTCCCTTTACAAAATACCTGCTGACCCCTGAGATATGCAGTTAGGAGTGATCACTGAATCTTGGCAGCCTTCCTTATCCCATATCCTGTTCTAGCTTGTCATTGATCACTTGGAGCATTTATTGAGGCATTTTCTCTAGTTGATAAAAGTCAAACTTCTTTTGCTTCCTTCCTCCTCCTTACCTCATATGCTTTCTCCCACTTTTCCAATAGAAAAATTCCATTTCTATTGCGATGATGTACCTAGAGATAGGTATATACTGTGTATTCTTGCCTTCTTTCCATTGTTCTTTCACTGTAGCAGTGTGTTTCCTTAACAGCTGGGCCCTCTGCAATTCATTGCATGTCTTTCAGTTATAAAACTGGTTTTTATAGAAAAAATATGAGGCCAAGTAGAGGGAAAAATTCCAGTCTTTTTTTGTGACAAATGGGTAGGACAAATGTCCTTTTGTAAGTCATAATTACACGTGATAATATATGTGGACAGGGCCAAAACTAGGTGTATATCATTCAGTCTTCCTGACACTCGGGAAAAGTAACCTCCAGCTCTAGAAAAAACTTCTTCAGTTTTTTCATTCATTCAACAAATATTTGAGTACCTACAATATGATAGGTACCATTTAAGTACTAGGAATACAACAGTGAATAAAAATCCTGCTCTTGTTCATCTTATAAACTATTATGAAAAATATACACTATGTCTGGTAGTACCAAGAGCAGAAGGGATAAGCTGGGCACTGGTTGCTCATGCCTGTAATCCTAGCTACTCAGGAAGCAGAGATTAGGAGAATCCCAGTTCAAGGCCAGTCTGAGCAATTAGTTTGGAAGATCCTATCTCGAAATTCCCCAACACAAAAACAAAGCTGACAGAGTGACTCAAATGATAGGGTTCCTGTCTAGTAAGTATCAGGCCCTGAATTCAAGTCCCAATACTGCAAAATAAAACCCAGAAGGTATACTGAATAATGACTTGTGAACATGGGCAATGGTATTGTTTTATGGAGGACAGTTGAAAAAGACATCTCCTAAGGTAATTTCTGAACTGAGGTCTGAAGGAAGTGAATGAGCAAGACTTGTAAATTTCTGGGGAAAGAGTATTCTGGGCACAGGAAAGTATTAAGTACAAAGCTTCCTAAGATGAGAGTGTATTTGACATGTTTAAGAAGCAGCAGGGAGGCTAGTTGTCTAGAATAGAATGAAAAAGTAGGAGGGTAGTAAAGATAAGGTAAAAAATATAATAGAAGTCGAATCAGAGCTCACAGACCAGAATAAGAGTTTTGGATTTTATTCTGAGTAAAATGGGAAACCAGAGAGATGAACAAACTTCCATTTGAAAAAGGATTAGATTGTCTATTGTATGGAGCAGAACTGTACAGGAACAGGAGTAGAACTGGTATATTGGTGAAAGGAAGAGAGTAGTGAAAGATTGTAATCAAGGTTTTAGCCTAACACTGGTACTGCATGATTGCCATTATGGATATAGGAAGGCCTGTAGGAAGAGCAGGTTCTGAAAGGATTCACTAGGGGTGTTTGGGTCACATTAAAGTTGGGATCCAAGTGGCTTATTTAAACATCTCCAGTTTGGGGAAGAGGTTGGCAGTAAAGATCTAAATTTAATGGTTTTCCTACAGCCAGCATTATACTTAACGGAGAAAAGCTGAAACCATTCCCTCTGAAGTCAGGAACCAGACAAGGATGCCCACTATCTCCATTCCTATTCAACATAGTACTGGAATTCCTAGCCAGAGCAATTAGGCAAGAAGAGGGAATAAAAGGAATACAAATAGGTAAAGAAACTGTCAAAATATCCCTATTTGCAGATGACATGATCCTATACCTTAAAGACCCAAAAATTCTACTCAGAAGCTTCTAGACATCATCAATAGCTATAGCAAGGTAGCAGGATATAAAATCAACATAGAAAAGTCATTAGCATTTCTATACACTAACAATGAGCAAACGGAAAAAGAATGTATGAAAACAATTCCATTTACGATAGTCTCAAAAAAAATCAAATACCTAGGTGTAAACCTAACAAAAGATGTGAAAGACCTCTACAAGGAAAACTATACACTTCTGAAGAAAGAGATTGAGGAAGACTATAGAAAGTGGAGAGATCTCCCATGCTCATGGATTGGTAGAATCAACATAGTAAAAATGTCGATACTCCCAAAAGTAATCTACATGTTTAATGCAATTCCCATCAAAATTCCAATGACATTCATTAAAGAGATTGAAAAATCTACCGTGAAATTTATATGGAAACACAAGAGCCACGAATAGCCAAGGCAATACTCAGTCAAAAGAACAATGCAGGAGGTATCACAATACCTGACTTCAAACTATATTACAAAGCAATAACAATAAAAACAGCATGGTACTGGCACAAAAACAGACATGAAGACCAGTGGAACAGAATAGAGGACCCAGATATGAAGCCACACAACTATAACCAACTTGTCTTTGACAAAGGAGCTAAAAATATACGATGGAGAAATAGCAGCCTCTTCAACAAAAACTGCTGGGAAAACTGGTTAGCAGTCTGCAAAAACTGAAACTAGATCCATGTATATCACCCTATACCAATATTAACTCAAAATGGATCAAGGATCTTAATATCAGACCACAAACTCTAAAGTTGATACAGGAAAGAGTAGGAAATACTCTGGAGTTAGTAGGTATAGGTAA